TAGTTGAGTGAGTTAGCTGAATGGGGACCATTGTAAAGTTCATTGAAATTAGATCTAGCCGAGATTCATGAAAATGAACCTTGCAAGGCTTGGCTGAGGGATTTTGAATGGATTTGAGGATGGTATAGTTTGATTCCATCTACCAAAATTTGATTACAGTTTTGATTTTTGTGAATATATGAAGTTCTTGATTGAAGCTAACAAATTAGAAGTATTTTGGATAGATCCTTTTTGCATTTGTTGCCGTGGATATCACATGAGTGAATAGAAAGGGAGGTGGCCATTCGCAAGAGAGAGGAGGATAGACAACTGTTAGTTGTGATTTATGAATAGAAAGGGCTTAAGACATTGATTTATCATACAAGATAATTAGTTTAGTTGATTCAAATGTGAGTGAGATATTTGTTATGTGAGAGAGGTCGAGATTGCATGCCAAGGACTTGCAAATTTACACCATTATCTTTTTTTTTTGTACTTCATGATAGATACACAACTACGATGACCAAATAGTAAATGTGAGCTCGAGCCAACCTTGTACCCCTTTATATAATCGAGCTCGAGTTCAAATATTAACAGGCTAAACTTGTGGGCTTGTCATGTAGCTCAAATCAAGTGTTTTGATTTGATCCAGGATAGGCATCCGGGTGTGCAATGAACCGAAAAATCTTAATTTCTCAGACCGCTTCTCTCAAGCATTAGACTCTCATGAAACCTAAACTTACTTTTCTTTCATTGCATGCCATCTCTTACTTTCACTCTCCAATCTCCTAATCGTATTCTAGCTATGTTTCTTCCTTTCTATCTCTTGGTTCAATCTTCAAACTTGTCTTCTCATCAGTTGTCACTCTACATTATGAAACTAGGTCTCAACCTCAATTCAACAGTAGGTCTCACCAACACTAGGTGTTAAAGGAAATGAATCATATAAGTGATTTTTTTCCTCCATTCTTTGCTAAATTATTCTATTTCACTTTTAGGAACTTGAGATAAATTTACTTGAACAGGATCTGTATGAGGGTATTCTAAATATTATAGATTTTTTTATCAACAAATTAACGGAATATCATTTTAGAAATGATGGATGAATATATATATATATATATATATATATATTGTATTTAATCTCTACCGATCTTGACTCTTATTTTGTCAGTGGGTGGGTTTACAGCCCAAAGAAAGAGCTAGGAAAATAGAGAATAATAGGTGAAAAAGAATAATGGTAGCAGAAGGATGAGTTATTTATTGAAATCCTTCTATAAATGTTCATCTCTTACACACTGATTCATCCCCTTTATATAGGAATATTTCCACCTATAAAATATACATATATGATGATTAAACTTAGATATCTAAGGATCTATGACTACTTATAATTGTCATGTTTTGTGTCACACATATATACAATATTATCTTTAGTGCATTATCATTTGTCAGTGCCTCATTTCACTTTCTATCTTCTATAACCTTCATCATGTCACATCTCCCGACCTTTTTGGCCCTCTAATTTAAAATTTTCTCTGAGACCAGCTCGCCTCTAGATCGAATAAATTCTTTTTCTGTGGGATGACTAAGAATGACAAGGTAGACTTTGGTGAGATGATAAGATCATTGAATAGATCCCACTCTAATTCATCTTACAAGAAGGATATCAATCAGGGGGTTGCCTTTATCAAATTATTCATACTTGACTACTCGTTTTTGACTGCTCATCGAACTAGTTCTTCAATGGATTAGGTCAGAAGGACCATTAAACATGTTTGGACCCTTACTGAACCAACACACTAATTTTTGCCATGTAACCAAAACATTCATTTTGATGTTAAATCATATGATTTATGACACTTGCCTACCACAACCCATACCATCTGCACAGAAAACTTTTATATTTAACAATGTTAATAATGTGTCATCAACACATTTTTATCATCAAGCACAAAACTAAACACATTTTGAGCAAAAAAAAATAATAAATTCAAATGATAGTGTTAAAATTAAAATTTGTTACAATAGTAATGTGATATTATGTACAAAAAATTTAATATCTAAAAATATCTCTCATCACTGCTAATGTGTCAGTATAATATATAGTGTTAAAAATATTTCATGAACTATAGCAAAAAACTCACATTTTAACAAAATATTTGTACCACAATAGCATAAATAAAATAAATAACATATTATAACATTTTAAATAAATTTTCTCCCTATGAACCTTGTATCTCCCAAAAACTTTATTTATATTTACATGCTTTTATGCCTCCCAACACATTTTAATATATCATTAGGCTCTTACATCTTCTTATGCATAGCACAATTCATTTATTCACTCTCTTACATCCCCTTTTAAATATTCATTTAATTCAAGCTCCTATATTTGTCAATAAATATATATTTTGCTCATGTCCCCATGCCTCACTGAAATTTATACACAATTAATTTGTAGCACATTGATTTAGATAAATTAATATTTTCATGAGCATAAACAATTTGCATTAGATTACGTTCTATCAACTCATTTAAATCAAATTGTGTTAATCACAAAATAAATTAATAAATAGCATTTATGTCACTAAAATGATGCCTTTATCATATTGTAACCACTTTAATCAAATTTTATTTGATTGCCAAAAGACTTAATTTCTTGTACAATCTGAAATACCTGGTGAAAATATAAATATGATTATAGAATAATTTTAATAGCAACATACCATATGTTATATGCTGAAAAATACTTGGATATTGAGATCTCTTGATTTTCATAAAATTTGTCCAAATTATATCAAAAAATGTTCACAAGATATCTTGATTTTTAAATAATTTGCCCAACTTTTTTATTCCTTTCTCTTTCTAAAAACCATCATCACTTAGGGTCCGTTTGGGGCAGCTTAGTGCGGTGGTGTTTTGAAAACGCATCTGACCTGTTTGGGTAAACTGTGTTTTGTCAGGTTATGCGTTTTCAAAACACAGAAAAAAACGTTTTCACACCGCACCTATCTAAGTGTGGTGGGAGTTTATTGGCAACGATCTGACTTTTTCAAAAAAAATAAAAATAAAAATTGTAATAGCCACCGCACCTAGCTTATCAGCATATTATTTTTAATTAGCTTAACAACAGATTATTCAAAAAGCTACAATTGCCCCAAACAGACCCTAAGAAATAAGAAAAAAACCTGAAATGTAGAGTTGGTGGGTTTAAATTTGCATAATAAAAATATTATTTTAAGAGAATATAAAAAGGATAAAAATATCATCACAAAAATATTTTAGTCTAATTATAAATACTATATAAATCCTCTTTGATCTTGATTTATCGAGATAATTTATCATGTTCAAAACCCATTAATGAAAATGATTTATAAAACGGATGTTAGATGGACCGAAAACTCTTTTTGTATCAAAACATGTAAATTTCTCATGGACTTCAAATCAAATAAATAACCTTTTATTTTTACACTTATAATTACTGATAAAAAAAAATATAAAAATATATATTTATAAAAGAGAGTGTTGTATGCTATATAATGTGGTGAAGATAGATTGTCAATTGAACATAAATGAAATTAAAATATAAATTTGAATACATTAAGGGTCCGTTTGGGGCAGCTTATAAGTGCGGGTGGCGTTTTCAAAATGCTGAAAACGCCGCCGTACCGTTTGGTTCACGCGTTTCGCCAGCTTATCTGAAACTGCGTTTGAGTTTTTATACTAAACGCAGGTCGCGGGCTGAACCCCGCGGCCCGCCCGTTTGGGTTTTTACACTAAGCATCTTATCCTGAAACGCACAAGCTGCTCCTTTAAGTCAACTTCTAAAAATATTTCACAATTCTCCATAGGCAATCTTTTGTATAATTATTTGAAGGTAAAAATCATTTAAATACACACATTCAGAGTACTTTATTAATTAAACATCATAGGCAAATGTAAACTCAAAATAAAAGGTATTCGAGGGTATATTTAAAATTTTCCTAAATATAGCAATTTGTAGATATTACATATTATATCTCAATTTCGTGTGTTTTACTTGCCTGAGAAGTGCTTTATGTGACCATTTGAGACTTAGCAACATGTTTTTATCCTTCAATTGTGCTATTTTTTCAATATGATAATGAATAATACCTTAATATAATGATTAAAAATTTTCAACTCTCAATTGTAAGATCATTATTAAAAATATTTGGCAATAAGAGACTTTTTAGATTCATAATTCAATTTTTTGTGATATTAAAGCTTGAGTACTCATTTTAAATAGAAAATTAGTCTCGTGGCAAGATAGATTAATAAAACCATAAGTTTTGGAATATTTAGTTTGAATGTTTATGTATCAACTTGTTTTGCACTCGATACTTGATTGGATTCAGATTAGACCAATTTTGATATCATTTGGTTCGTCTTCTTGAAATGGAAGATGTAACTGTAAACTTTTAGAAATTGGGGCTTAGATGATCTTAAATTTGAGTTTGAAAGATTCCTTATAAAAATGCATTGAAATTTGTACTAAAAAAATTGTTGATAACACATCTGAAATAAAAATTTATCATGGTGCACGAGAAGAATTTGTGGGCACACGACATTTAGATTCAGAAGGCTTGCTTCACTCATCATAGAATAAATGAAGGGGATTGGAAATTCTACTTTTTGGCATCTCACAATGTCTATAATTTTTTTATGGAAACATTTACTCGTTTATTTTTCAAAATAAAAAATTAAAAAAATGCTCTTAAATAATTCCTCTCAATATTTTAAATTATTTTGATCAAACTTAGTTGAAGCTAGTCAATGTGTTAGATATAATACATTTAGGGTCGTTTGGGGCAGCTTATTTCAAAACGCCGCCGTATTGTTTGAATCGTGCGTTTCACTAGCTTATCCGAAACTGTGTTTGGGTTTTTACACTAAACTCAAATCGCAGGTCGACCCCTGCGATCGGCCCGCGGACCGCATTGAAACACACAAGCTGCCCCAAACGGATCCTTAATTTCATCTATGTTAAATTTATATTTTAATACTCATGTTCTAAGTCTTTAGTTCACCGTCGCTTCTCGCCGAAACGAAATATTCAATTTAGAGCGAAGCGAGAGATCAGGGAAGAAGCAGCCAATTCTTCTCTTCCCCAACCTTTTCCTCAATGGTAAGAATATAACTCACTTCCCTAATTGTTTATCATTCGTTTCATGAAAATGGGTTGGAGTCTAGTCCCGTCTTGTATTTGGGAAATTTTTAGGGTTTATAAGATCTTTATCATTCACAGGCGCCGAAACCCGTGACAAGCCCCGTCCCCGTTGCCTGGTATCCATCCCTGTCAGTTCTGATGCTTTCGATCGGCCTCATGCTCACCGCTTCTTTCTTCATGTAAGTTTATTGTAAGCGATCTCAGTTTTGCTTTACTGGAATTATACTAATGGGACTCTGATCTGCTAAGTCTTTTTTATTATGTTATTTTACTTTTTGAGTACGTAATGTTGCTTTTGGGGAGTCTGATGATTTTTCTCTTTTTCTTTTGGCTTATAAGATACGAGGAAATCTGTAATTGATTCTATGCAAATTTGTAATAACTTAAATTGTTATTTAAGAATTTAAACAGGAAAATTGATTTCTTAAGGAAGATTTTTCTTAAGTATCTTGAGGTAGATTCACATTTGGAGTATGGGTGGTTTAATTGGTTTGATTAATTGGAATGAATTTTGTCTTCAATGTCTTCATGATTTTGGCAATTCTAGTTAGCTAGATGTAATGGTTGTTACAAATGGATAACCGTACACAGGATTTATATGGAGACGCTCAACTACTGATGCTGTAACTCTTCCAAGTCTTGCATTTATCACATATAGTCCATGTTCATCTCTTGACGCATTGTTTTCAGCTTTTCTATTAGTAAGGCTTTTATTAAGGTACAAAAACTGTTAGGCATGATTTGCCACTCTCTATCATGGTTCCCTCTCTCTTGTCCTGCCGGATTCCTACAACTCAGACCAGTGGAATGACGCCTTACATTGCAATTCAGTTTGCTGACTGTAATAGAAGGATGCAAAGGTTTTATGGGGGAGAAGATTAAGATACCTTAGCTGTACATTGTTTATGAAATTTCACACTGCTCTGGAAATTTTGGGTACTTAGAAGTCATCTGACTTATTGTTTTATGAGCTAAAACAGAAATAGCAGTAGGAGTCATCTGGCATTATTTTCATGTCATCTAGAAACATTTACTGTAGTCATATCTGTCATCTTCAATCAGATTCTAGAATCTACAATCATTAATTTTTACTTTAATTCCTTGGCATGCAGTTTTAATATTAATGATCATGGTGATCTTGAGTTCCTTCGTTTTCTTTTCTTTTTAATTCTTATTTTTATAGCAAGTACAATAACACTTTTTTTGCAACTAATTATCATATATTACTGACATGGCAATCATAATTTATCAGAGGATATCTTTTGCATCATTATTCAGTAAAATATATTGTAATAAAAAATACAGTATAGAGAATCACTTGATTTTGTATATATAATGGATTTTAAAATGAAAAACTAGTAATAGAACTTCCCATCTGGAAATCATTTCTTTGCATATCAAATCTTGCACGCCCCTTAAAATTCATTTAGCTGTTGTGTCATGAAATATTCACCTTGTGCTAATTGGCATGTTCGACATAGTTCTTGAGCATCTATATGTGCAAGTGTCTAATTTGATGCAATACAACAACAACAACAATAACAACAATAACAACAAGCATTTATCCTACTAGGTGGGGTTGACTATATGAATCATTTTTCTATATTGCATCCTATTAAGGGTCAAATTTTCATTTAATTCTAACAGATTAAGATCATATTTTATACAATATGCCCAAGTCTTTTTAGGTTTACTTCTACTTTTCGTAACATAAGTGGAATCTAAAACATCTATTCTCCTAATAGGATCATCAAATGGTTGACATTTAACGTGGCCAAACCATCTAGATGGTTCTCTCTAATATTGTTCGTCAATGGAGCTACACCACCCCTATCACAAATATATTCATTTCGCATTTTGTCTCTAAATGTCAAACCACTCATCCACCTAAGCATTTTCATCTCAACAACACTTAACTTTATTTTATGCTTCTCTTTTAAAGGCCAATATTCTGTACCATAGAGCATTGCATGTCTCACCACCATCTTATAAAATTTTCCTGTCAGTTTAAGAGGTACTTTTCTATCACACAATAAACCCGATGCATTCCTCTACTTCAACCAACCAGCTTGAATTTTATTAATAACATCCCCATATATATCACCATCACTTTGAACAATAGACCCGAAATATCTAAAACGATCACATCTTTTAATGATTTGATCACCCATAATCACAACTCAGCCACTAGGGCTACAACTACTAAAATTAAGTTCCATGTATTTTGTTTTAGATCTACTCCCACGAAGGCCTTTAGATTTTAATGTACACCTCCATAATTCAAGTTTTTCCTGAACTTTTTCGCCAGCCTTATCGATAAGAAGGATATCATCATCGAAAAGCATACAACAAGATACATTCTCATGTAAATGTCCAGACATCCATAACTAAAGCAAAAAGATATGGGCTTAAAGCTGATCCCTAATCTGACTAAAATAGGAAATACTTGGTCAATCCTCATTCTATTCGAACACAAGTAACAGCTCTAGAATATAGGTATACATATTTTTAATGACTTAAATATAAGTCATATCAACATTTTTTTTCTCTAGAATTTTCCAAAGGACTTCTGTAACTTTATCATAAGCTTGTTCGAAATCAATAAAATCATATGTAGATCCTTCTTATTCTCTCCGTACTTTTTCATCAAACCTCTCAATAAATGTATAGCGTTCCATAGTAGACCTATCCAACATAAATTCAAACTGATTATGAGAAATCTTTGTATCACGTCTTAACTTATGTTCAATTACCCTCTCCCATAAATTTAAAGTATGACACATAACTTAATTCCTTTATAATTTGCACATTTTTGTGCATCCCATTTATTCTTAAAAATGGGGATCAAAATTTTCTTCCTCCACTCCTCAAATATCTTTTTTAGTTTTTAAAATAATATTAATGAGTTTAGTAAGTGAAGAAACTCTAAAATCTCCTAAATATTTCCAGACTTCATTTGATATATCATCAAGTTCTACTGATTTTCCACCATTGTTTTTCCTTAAAGTCTCAATTTTTTTTACTAGCACGACAGTAAAAATAGAATGTTTTATTATTAGTAATGATATTAATATCACTAAGATCTATATTTTTTTCAAAAATTTCATTAAAAAGTTTATCGAAATAGCTTATTCACATATGTTGAATATCTTCTTCTAGCAAAAACACTTTTTGATTTTCATTTTCAATACACTTTACTTGAATTAAATATTTTCTTTTCTCTTTATTTGCCTAGTTTATACATATATTTTTTACCCACTTTAGTATCAACTCTATTATAAAGATCAATAAAAATAAAATTTTTAGCATCATAAGCTATTTTCTTAAATTCTATACGGGCTACCTTACATTTTCCCAGTTCTCTAAGCTTTTATATTTAAACTGATTTTAATAACACAACTACTATTTTATCTTTTCTTGCACATTTTTATTCCACCAAAGTTATTTTTATTTATAAAAACTTTTCCTTTTGATTCTCCAAGTACATCTTTTGTCACTTATTTAATAGTGTTTGCTATTTTAACCCATATAAAATTCGCTTCTTCATGAACATCTCAAAATTTGAAATTTACTAACAAAAATAATTTTATTTGTGTCTTTTAGGTGCCCCCATCTAACTCTATGATAATATTTCATTGAATCTTTATCTTTCAACTTTTCATCTTAAAATCCAGAACTAATAATCGATGTTGAGTACTTAATTTTCACTTGAAATTATCTTACATTCTATACGCTCTCGACGATCTCTTTTTCTCATAAGCAAATAATTAATTTATGTTATATTAGATACATTTCTATGAGTAATAATATATTCATATCTTTTTTTAAATAAATTATTATCAATAGCAAAATCATACGTTAAAGTAAAATTAAGTATGGTTCTATCTTCTTCATTAATCACTCCAAACTGTAACCACAATGAATATTTTTAAAGTCTTCCACCACTTTACTAATATGCGCTTTTAAATCTCCTCTAATAAAAATTCTTTTTTCAAAAGGTATTATTTGTATTAATTCTTCTTAGTAATTCCAGTTTTTTTTTTTTTTTTTTTTTACCTGTATCTAAACCTGTTTGAGGAGTATAAACACTTATAACATTAAAAATCTTAGTATCAAAAACAATCTTTAGGGCTATAATTCCATCTCTATTACTATTAATTTTTACAACATTATCTTTTAAACTCTTATTTATAATTACAACTTAAATTGTTTGGTAACTTTACAACTTAAATTGTTTGGTTATAAGGAAAGGTAACCTTATTATATCTTTGATTATGTTCGAAACAAAAGAAGTATTTGTTGGATGGAAATACTTAATGTTTATGCATTTTTTTCGTGATAAGAATTCATCATTATAACTAATCATCAATTTATTAGCTAATTAATGATCAATTTGGAAACTAACAGAATTATTTATAACCAAATTTTATTGAGAAATCAGTTACAACTTAAAGGGTGCTCATACTTTGATAACTAATTGAAAAAAATAATCTAAGTAATTTGTATGTTTAAGTATAATAATGTGTTTAATGAATAATTATAAGTATTAAAATATGTTATTATTTGAATCGATCATCAGGTAATTTTAATTTACTATTTTTAAGAAGCAATTAATAGTTCTTAACTTAGTATTGAATAGTATTCAGAAAGATGAGAAGATTAAGCTTGCAATACGTTGAAATAAAATAGATTTGGATGTGGATGAATATAGTCCTAGTTTAAGGACTAATCCATGAAAGCCAGGGCTTAATATCTTCTCAGGTTTCGACTCCAACTACACCTTTCCCATAATTGAAGGGTCATGTACTTTGAGAATTCATGCATGGGTCTTATGATTTAATTTTTTTATGATATCAAATCGGCTTGTCCACAGTTTTACATTAGTTTAATTTTATTTCAACTATCGCCCAAAATTCATTTTAACTTTTTAAGCAATCCATAATTAAATCACTGTCACGGGCCTTATCTCAAGGATTAAGGTTAAATTCAGAACCCTTCTTTTCCATTATTTTTTTTTATACTATATCATGAGTGTTAACTCTATTATGTGGAAGTTTTTCATACAAATTCTTGTGTTACTGATGGCCTAATTAGGTTTGTAATCTAACTAGGTTTGTAATTGAGCTTGGATAAGTCAATTATGTCGTGGATTGAACTTCGGTTGGTCGAATGATAAGTT